CCCATAACCCCTGAACCCCAACCCTAACCCATAGAATCCGATGAGGTAACCCCAAAAAGGAGCTACTTTAGGGCCTATGGGTACAGTCTATGGTTCTATATCACGGACCTTCGGGCCGCTGCTAGAGTCGCGAGAGGTTCAGTGCAACTCAGTCGCGGGACTCCTTCTGCCATTGCTACGACTGCGGGTCTTAGCCGAGACGGTTTAGGGTTTAGGGGTTTAAGTTTAGGGTTTGGGGTTTAGGGTTTAGGGTTTAGGGTTCAGGGTTTAGGGTTTAGGCAGCCAGACAGCACACGAGAGTGCACGAGTTCAGGGGCCCGGGTGGTGGCTGTTCTGTTGGGTGGTGTATACCTTGCACAATGTACGGCCTCGACGTGGAAACATACAGGCATGTCTCGCTCTTGGCGAGTCTAATGGCCTGACCTGCATCTCGATAAGCTAGAACCACCTGATATAGAAACCGTTACCCCTGCTTTTTCAGCCCAAGTATCCCAGCCTCAAGCCCCAGAAACTCTACAACCCTCTGAGAATGATCCTTCGAAAGGCCGTGGAAGCACATCAAACCCTGGATTCTACACCATGCCTTCACGCTGAAAAGCTGCAACACCCCTAAGTTCTGCAATCTACTTGGAGGTTCATGAGTAGTTATAAGTGGAGTTATAAGTCCCCTATAGATATCCTACTTCTAACCCTACTTATAGCTACCCATGAACCTCCAAGTACAAGTCCCTGAAACGCCCTGAAATCCTGGTGAGGATCGCTCTGTCACACAAGAGTATCTGCCCTAAACCCTAAAGCCCAAACCAAACCCTGAACCCAAAGTCGCCAAACTAGCCCTAAACCCTGAACCCCAAACTAAATTGTAGTGTAAACCCTAATATATATATATATATATATATAATATATAATATATAATATAATATATTATATATATATATATATATATAAATTATATTATACATATATATATATATATATATATATTATATATTATATATATATATATGTATATACACCCTAAATGCCCCAAACTAAGCTAATGGAGATCGAAGCTGGAGGCCTTGATCAAGGGCTCCTCCTCTGTCTGATCCGGTATCCCCGTATTCTCGTAGTCGAAAGCGATGAACCTGGCGGAGGTCAGCCACGGTTTTTCAATGGACATGTGCAACCCCCTCTCTCCGCACGAACCGGCCAATGTATGGCCCTCCGCTACTAAAACACACTCACTTGCCACGGTTTAGGGTTTAGGGGTCCTTCTATTCTCGGAGAGCTTGATGGTGTCAGGAGTGCTGAAAGGGGTCCCTAGCTTCATTAAGGCTTTATTAGCTTATAACGTTTCGTAAAGCTTTTCGGGTTAAGGGTACCGTGTTCAACCAGTTCGTACACAATGAGGGTCCGATTTTTGCTTAGGGTCAGTCTTGGGGTTCGTGTTGGGGTAGGGCGTCTTCTGAAACGCCAGTAAAAATCGGAGGCATTTCGTTCTTGGATCGAGGGAAGTTAACAATTGCTTTTGATGAGACATGCGTGGTAGATGATGTGGTATACGGTATGACAGGTTGTGACAAGAGTGAAATCCCATGAGCCCCGATACTGACGCCGCTCTGCTTAGCATCTAAACGGAAGGAATCTTCACACAGGCAGGGCCCACGAAACTGAACTTTGTCTATATGTCTACATGTGAGTACGATGGCCGTGCGCCCAAATCCTATATACCTTGGCCCCGAAGTACCTCTATAGGGACTACTTCAAGGCCAGAGTACAAACTATTTTGGTACATGGACCCCGAAAACCCTAAACCCTTAGGGTCTGTAAAAGGATATGGCACGAATCGCCATAGATAGGATCGGGCAGGAGTCTCGGGGACAGGCACACGCGAACAACCACAACTGGGTGAACGAGTGGGTTTTAGTTTAACGAGGCACATTCAGTATTCACCAAGCCTCGGCAAGGAAGGAGCGAGGGAGGGAGGGTGGATCATGACGATTCTGTACTATTATTCCTGCTAGTACTTCAATTACGATTGTTATAGGGAGGTTATAGGGAGGGATGGAGGGTACCAGAAACCTTCCATTCCAAGCACAGCCTACTACACAGTTCACTAGGATCGTAAGGAAATCTCGCCGGGACAGCTCGCGCTCGACCACGATCACGCGCCTAGAGCTTGGGATGGAGACGAAGGCACGGAGAATCCTTGGAATGAGTGGGTTTAGGGTTTAGGATGTTACTAGGGTTCAGGGGTTTAGGGTCTACAGTTTAGGCTTTGGAGGTTAGGGTCTATAGGGTTTCCGATGGCTCAGGGCTTGGCGTCGAGATTGAGTTTGGGAGGTGCCTCAAAAACTGGGATCTGGGAGCATGGGAGCACCAAACACTCTGTCTCTGCATATGTCTGGGATTACCTCCGCTACTGCCGTAGATGCAGGCTGTATAAGAACACAGCAGCGACAGGCAGGACTTGTGGCTTGTTTTCAGCATGCTTGGTGTCTAGAGGGTTGGACATGAGGACGATGATAACTTCGATATGATGCTATGCCATTAGTTGAAAATAAGGGACCACTTCTAGATGTAGATATCTTCAAGACATGTAAATGTCAGCGAATGTTGCAGGGGCCCATTAACATAACCGCGGTAGGGGCCACTGGACAAGTCTGGAACTAATCTGCCATCTCAAGACCGTTTGCGTTTCGATTTCGCTCGGCTTGGCATCAGCGGGATTTGGGGCTTGGAAGGGAAGTGGCCTCGGGCCCAATCGTGTGCAAGAGTAGATCTACCTTCAGACGCTTGTGACATGATTGCCCCTGATTAGATTGCAAGAGCGCAGTTGGCAGCACAATGTCTCTGGAAGATGATGGTCATGTGGCTAGCAATGACGGCTAGCAGTACGAGGCAAGCGGGGCAAGGAGACCACATCAGCAGAGAGGACCACGGGCCCATCAGCAAAGAACTGCAGGAGAACCACTTAAAACACGAGTGGGCCTCCGAATGCGGAAAGCTGTCCGGATCGCAACCCCTCAACAACACAGAACGCGAGAACTAGACGCTTTTGCACCTGAACTCTTGAATAGGGGCACTCTGGGAGCACTGTACTCCGGGGCGCAGACGTGACTTCGTCCACATAGAAGGACTGAATCATCCTCAGCATCTCTCCCCAAAAAACGTCGAAACCCATCAAGCCCTAAACCGTAACAGCTCAAGGCAGGTAGACTTGGGGGTCGGGGGTTGTGTCGAATTCAAGATTCAGGAGCTGCGTCTCAGTGCGGAGCTTGATTGAGGACAAAGGGAGCCCTGTTTGATTAAGGAGCTGGCGTTTCGGGGTGTAGAGCAAATTTCCAGCACACAGACATGTATGCTTGAATACCTGCAAACATATCTCCGAGAGTATGTACCTTGCATTTTGATGGAATGCCGTCATTGTTGTTGTGTTGATGGTACGAGGTCGTTGTTGCTGCCATCGATAACCCTGTTGATGTTGCTGTGGCTGCTTTCGATCCGATGTGATCATACATGTGAGTATGCATGTGCATGTATTGTATATATATATATATATATACCGATACATACGTGCGTTCTGAAACCTAAACCCTAAGCCCTAACCACAGGCCTTTGGCCTGGAAGAGCCGTGATGCAAACAAGCTCGCAGGCGCTCGTCTTAATGTCAAGATCCTAGGGCTCTACACCCTAGACCCA